CACACAGAGGAGATTTTGCTTCCTCTGGTTTGGGCATCACACCGAGCTGCCTGCAGGGAGACCGACAAGGCAAACTGGGCCGGCAAGCAGCTGGTCACTGCGGCTGACTGGCCTCCCTGCAGTTAGCGAAATGGGTCAGCCCCCCCCACCACATGGGCTGGATCGCACTGAGGGGAGGTAGCCCCCGCTGCGCAGCCTGACCATCTTTGCCCAGTGACTTCCATCCGTCACGCGGCTCGTCTTGTCTCCAGGGTGGCCTTGCCTGCTTGGGGGAGGGGCAGTAGCCCAGCTGCAGCCCATGGCTGGTACGTGGTGGCCCCCAGTGTCCTCGCTGGCCAAGTACGTGTGACGTGGCTAATGAGCTGCAGGCCAGGGAGGGAATCAGGCCGCTTGGCCAGCCACGTGTGGCCTGGTCAAGCCACTGTAGCCGGCTCACCAACCACGGCTGCGCAAACTGGCCTGCAGCTCGCATCTGGGGCTCCCCACAGGACTCCAATAGGGTGGCTTCATCCCTGAGGGTCCATAGTATTTAGGGGAGTCCTCAGCTGCAGCCCCCTAACTCTGCTGCCTCCCCTTGTCCTCTGCAGCCGCCTCCTCCCACTCCCTGCGCTATTTCTACACGGCGGTCTTGGAGCCCAGCCAGGGGCTGCCCCAGTTCGTCCAGGTGGGCTACGTGGACAGCGAGCCCATCACCCACTATGACAGCAGCACCCGGAGGAAGAGGCCAGCGGCGCCCTGGATGGAGAAGGTGGGCGAGGACGATGCCCAGTACTGGGAGAGGGGTACCCAGAAATTGCACAAAACTGAGCAAATGTTACGAGAAAACCTGGCGACTCTGCAGAAATACTACAACCAGAAAGGGGGTGAGTGGAGCACAGGAGAGGGGGGCAGATCCCCGTCCAATGTTTGTCCTTTCCATGGGAGGAGAATGTGGGGGAAAGGAGGGGGCCCCACCCAGGGCAGCAGCTCCTTCCCTCTCCCTACAAGGCTTGCAAGAGGCCTCCCCTTCCTCCAGGGAAGGACCCGGAGCAGCGTCATCCTGGGCCCCGGGGAGCCTGCAGGGCCGCTTGGAGGAGAGCTCCCCTCCAGATGACAGCCACCTTCCCTCGCGGGGGGGGGGGGGAGGGCGCCCGCCAGGCCCCCCGCTGCCTGCAACGGCTGTGACGGGGACTTCAGGGGTGGCCCTGGCCCCACCATCGGAGGGCTCTGTGTGGCTCTTTCTCTCTTGCCTTCCTGACAGTTATTTTCTGTTTTGGTAATAAGAAAAAAGATGAGATGCACATGCTTGGAAAACATTGGCTTGGACTGAGAGTAGATGATGAGGTCTTGCCCCCCACCCCTTAAAAATTTGTGAGTGAGTAAATCCATCAAACGGATGGTTCAGGATTTTTGCCAAAGGCCAGCAGAGAGCAGAATATGAGATTATAACCATAGCAATTCTCCATGCCTTTCTTCTGCCTCTAAATGGGGCAACATCTGTGGGTTTGCTGGTCTGGGAATTGGCTAGTCTTCCACATTTCTCGCATTGGGATGGTCATCCGAAAGATTTTCCACGCAGAGCATTTCTACGCTGCGCTCAGGTGTTTCCCAGTCATAATTTGGCCACAAGGGAAGCATTTTTGGTCTCATGTCGCGAGAAACCATGTCACCTCCTCAAGATGGCCAACCTCCTCTATTATCAGGCTTTTGCAGGGAAGCAGGAGAAATTCATGTCCATTTAACTTCCCCAAACAAACCTGCTGCCCCCTCCCTTCAGATTTCTCGGATAAAACAGTTTCCGATTTATGTGTTGCATTCCTCTCCCCGCTCTTCCTCCAGGGAACCCAGGGCAGCCTTCCCAATCCTCCTGTCCATCTTCTCACAACAACCTGTGAGGTGGGTTAGACCAAGAGCCACTGGGCCAGTTTGCCCGCTTCCCATGGTGGCTTCTTTGATTTGCCACGTTTGCTGCCGGCACACCCTGCTCCCCTGTCCAGACCCCGCTCTTCTGGTCATTCAGACCGGGGCAGCTTGGCTCGCTGGAGGGGGAAGCGACTCTGAAGTAGCCCGACTGGCTGATGACACGTATTGTGCCCCACGTGTTCTGTGGGGCCACGATTATGAATAGGAGTTTCAGTGGCGCTCTCCTTCTATGCGAAGGGAGTGGCAGGTAGCAAGGCCGAGAACGGCCACCTGTGGGCTGTCCAGGCCGAATGCAGCCTATCCTGTTGCCTTTTATAGCCAGGCTGAGCATGAAATTCGGAGAGTCCTTGCCCTCTTCTTCCAGGATCACTCAAATGCTCAACCAGCTTCAGGCACAGGCAGCTCAGGGCTGCTCAGGAAAAGGGGACCCCTCCTCAGAGAGGAACCCCGAGCCTTTCCCCACCTCGAGCATTATTTCCCTCCACCACCCCATGGGCCAGTGGAACAGTCCTTGGGTCCAGGTGTAGATTGTTCACCCCTCATCACAACTACCTCCAGTGTCCGTGGGGCACAATGGCTGGTACCTCTTTCTCCTGCACAAGAGGAGCCCAGCCTTGGATGTGGTTTTCTTTAGTGCTGATGCCTGGTTTTTCCAGCACTCGCCCTGCACGTCACGTAACCCTTCCCGGCCTGCCAGAGTCACCAGCTGGTTGTGTTACACTCTGCTCTGCCCAGTCCGGAACTGTGACGCGATTCTGGACAGGATCGGCTCCGAGGGCTGAAAATGCCTCCCATTCCTCCAAACGGCCGGCTCTTCCTCACTGCGCAGTTGCCACATTCCACATGCTGGAGCAGCGGCAGCAGCGGCCCTGTTGGTTTCCAAAGATCACATGCCTGTCCCAGTTTTCACATTTTAAAATTTCCTCATTGTGGGACACTGCCAGGGTAGAGAAAGGAAACAGCATTTCCTGCTGCTGAACACACTCCCTGAGGAGTACGTATCAGTCTCCTGCAGAAAAGGATAATTCATATTTTGATGAAACATTTAAAGAGGAGCATCTGTGACTCAAGCTTGCCAGCTCTGACCATCTGAGAGGCTCTACTGCTTTTCATTTTCTTTTCCAAACTCCCCTCAACTCCCATTATAATCATGCTGACCATAATAAAATTTTCATTGATCACTGAATTCTTCTAACGGTCTTCTATTTACATAGCTAGTTAACTTTGCCATCACAGCATATTCTGCTTGTCTGTTTCTCCATTATTCAATAGCTGGGGGCTCCGAGGATTTTCATTTACAAGCAAGTGTGATCTAAATTTCAGCAAGTTAGGTATTATTCCCTTGGCAAAGAAGATAAAGTAAGAAAAACAGTACAAAATGAAATGATAAGGAGAGAAAGGGAAAAGAAAACAGAAGAAAAAGTATATGTGGGGGAGGTCAACCCTATAACTTGTTCTAGTTTACCTTATCCAGCCATCTCATTACCAGAGCTGCAGACAGAAAGTCTTCATGCCCACCGCTCATTCAGAGAAGTAAAAAACCTCTCAAGGACAATTTAGGAACAAACAAGATAAGGCACAAGATCAGGGAACACTGCTGAGTTGCCATTTCCTCGGAAGTCTCACCCTGAAGCTTCTTTGGAGGGTGTTGTGGGGGTCATTGTGACTGGCGTCTGGGGGAAGCAATCCCCATCTGATCCCCCAGCCTCTTGACTGTCTCTTCCAGGGCTCCACACCCTGCAGTGGATGTACGGCTGTGAGCTGGAGAGTGATGGGAGCAAAGGAGGATACATGCAGTTCGGCTACGACGGGAGCGACTATCTCAACCTGGACAAGGAGCATCTCAGGTGGACGGCGGCCGATGCCACAGCCCAGATAAGCAAGGTGAAGTTGGAGGCCGAACCCGCCATTGCTCAGAGATCCAAGGCCTACCTGGAGGAGGAGTGTGTTGAGTGGCTGCAGAGATACCTGGACTATGGCAAGGAGACCCTGCTGAGGACAGGTGTGTGGTGGGGACGGAGGTGTCTTGGGGGGCAGTTTCTGCTCCCCTTTCCTTGTTCACTGGACAGAAGAGTGGGAAGATGGCAGGAACGTTCCATTTCAGCCAGCACTGAGGGGAGCTCTGCTTTTGAGTGCCTCTCCCAGATTTTCACTCTACATCTGGCCCAGAAGTCAAAATGTAGCAGAGCATGAAAGCTGGGAGTTTCCCCCTAGGTGTCTCTTTGGCAGCTTGTGGGGCTCCCTGCTCACACATGTCCAGAAGTGCAGAGGCTGCCCTTTCCCTTTGGGGACCCTCCACCCCCCACAGGCCTGTGATCCAGCTTCAGCCTGGGCGGGGCCAGGGCAGGAGGGCTGGTATGGGGCAGGGGCTGGACGTGTGTGGGAACCCCCTTCCTGAACCCACCAAACCAAATCCTCCAGTTGGGACAGCTGGGCCTCACCTGCCTAACAGATATCTCTGATAAAATAATTGCTTTTCCCCAAGACTGCTGCTCTCCCACTGATTCCAAACCCATCTGCCCTTCTGCACCACATGCCTCATGAGTGGGGAAGAGAAATGGGGCAGGTTGGCTAAGGAATCCCCGAGCTGGGAGGAGTGGAAAAGCACATCCCACTGGCCCTTCCTCAGAGGGAGAAAGATTCTGCAAGTATGTGATCCTTGCCATTTTGATAAAAAGTTTAACGCTCCTGCCGGGAGTATCTGCGCATGTGCAGAGTTTCTTCACCTTCCTGAAGGGAAAACTGGGAAAAATGGCTAAACGTAGAATGCTTTGCAACAACTGCCTCCAACAAAACATACAGAAATCATTGAGCACATCATCTTTTTCTGGCTCTGAAATGCTGGATAGGCTCATGGGCAATCAGGCCCAAGCAAGACAGAGCAAGAAGTGCAAGAATGGACACTTAAGTAGCATTAAACATTAAAGCAGGGCTGCAAGGCCAAGAGCTGCAGTTCCAGCTTGACCCTCTGGGGGGAGCCAGCACTCTACTCCCATCCTTCGATTGCGGGGTGGTGGAGCGGATTCAGCCCTGGCACCTGCAGGGATCCTCCCTGAAGCCCAAAGCAGAATGGCTCCAGGCAGGGATTTCGCCTTAAGCCCCGGTTTGAGAATGTTCAAAATGTTTAAAAATAGAAAATATTTGGGTGCCTGGGAATCCCTTTCAGCCCATCCTCAGGCAGTGTTAGTAGGGCCTGGATGGCCCCAGGAAACACAGACCTGCTATTCAGATATGCCCCATCCTGCCCATCGCTGGAGAGATTCTGCTAGTGGTGATAACACCCAGTTTGCCCACTTTGCAGAGTCCCCTGAAGTGAAGGTGACTTGCCACAAGTCATCCACGGAGGACGTGGAAACCCTCATCTGCCGGGCCCACGGTTTCTACCCCAAGGAGATCGAAGCCGCCTGGACCAGAGACGGGGAGAGCTGCGAACACGAGACCTTCCGTAGTCGTGTGGCCCCCAATCCGGATGGGACTTACTACATCTCACTCTACACTGACGTAGAGCCCGAGGAGCGGGGCCGCTACCGGTGCCGTGTGGCCCATGCCGGCCTGTCGCAGCCTCTGGTCTTGGCCTGGGAGGGGCCTGCAGGTGAGAAACGGCTGGGGAAGGGAGAAGGCACAGATCAGGGGTTGGATTCTTGTAAGTTGAGTTTCCCCTAGGAGAGATGGAGAAATCTAAAAGAGAAGTGTGTGTGTGGTTTGGGGTGCAAAGCGAGGGATTCCCATTCATGTGGAGGGAGGGTGTGATTCCTGGCAAGAGAGTTGGAAGATTGGCCCTTGGAAGGAGATGCTTCATCTCTGGTTGAGATCATGACAGAGATGTGGGCGTTGCAGCCCTGGGATGCCCGAAGTTAGAATGGTTGCAGATTTCCATGCAGTGCCTGTCTTAATAAGAGTCGCACAGGACTGAATAGATAAAAAACTCTGAGGGGACGAATATGTAGCTGGGGGGTGCGGGCGCAGCCTTTCACAGGCCCCACTGATGCTGCTGCCCCGCACTGCTGACATTTGGCAGTGTTGTGGCCTAAATATGGGCACTTTGCCACAAAAATAGGCTTGTTCTCAAGGAGAAAGGGGCCCTTTTGAGTCTGTTGCAGTTTGCTTCCAAATTTCAGAGGGAAGCTGCCGTTGTTCTGTTATGGGGTGGGGGGTTGGGGGGGAGCGTCCTCATGAGGCTGGAAGAGCTGCTGCTGCTCTGGACTGACATGCGTTTGTCCCCTTTCAGGGAATGTGTGGATCATTGTAGGAGCCGTCGCAGGGGCTCTGGTTCTCCTGCTTGTTGTGGCCATCATCATCATCATCATGAGTAAGTAAGCTGGGGCTGCCTTTGCTGGGCTGCATGTGGACATGCGTCACTCTGTTGGTGGCCCTCACTAAGAAACGGTGGATCGTGGCCCCTCCATGGGGGAGGCAGCCCCAAAAGGCGCCTCCCTGAAAGTAGCTTTAGGAGCAGGAGCAGGGAAAGACCTGAAGGAAGGCCGTGGGTCGCTGCCCCCTGCGCGGGAACGGCCTCCCGGTGTCCACCCATACTGGAGAGGGAACCCCCAGGACAGCAGTGGCACCCCAAAGACCACCAGCCACCACAGCACCCTTGAATCAGGCTCCCTATTTTCTCACCTGGGGTACTGCCTGATAGTGAACCTGTGAAGTCCGGAACCAGGGGCTGGAAGGCACCGGAGTGTCACTGGGTTTGAACTCTCTTGTCCACTGCCAGAATTTTCACCAAGATCCTAAATGCATTTAACTTTGGTGAAGTCTTGGAGACCATTCTGAATTTTAACTTCTCGCATATCTTTTATTACTACGGTTTTAAGGGGCTGTTTCCTTCCCCTCCGTGCCTGGATTCCAGGCAACCCAGCTCAGGACATTGCAAGTCCTTTGCATATTTGTTTTGGAAAAATTAAATTTCTGGTATCCTGTAAGTGGATCCTTTTTACCTTTCTGGTGTGTGTTCTGAAGGGCTCAGCTTTGGCAAGAATGGTATTTCAGCAGGTGAACCTGTCACAGCTCGGCCTTCATGCACTTAAAACCATTGTGGGGGGCACCAGAATCACAACATCATTAGCTGCAATAAGAAGCATTCCTTGACGCAGCATTAAAATGTTTTAGTGAATGTAATTTTGGGGTGGGTGGAAATATAATGAAATACTGTCGGTATGAGGGAATGCTAAAGCACGTCCAGTGTCGTGAGCTGGCTCCTTCCCTCTTTCCTTCTGGTGATCAAACTCAAGACAGTCCTTCCAAGTGCAGATCTTCTACTGAAAATAACAGATGCCTTCAGTCTCCCTTGGGTGGTGAGGAGTACACTCTGCACATGGGTGCCGGGGACCAAGATTGGGCACCATCTCAAAGAAAAGCCTTCTGACAAATCCCGTGGGGAATGTGTCCCAAGTTCTGTTTTCCCCGGCTCCATCTCAGGGCTTCCAACAAGTTGCCCACGCAACTGAGAATTGCCACCCATTCTGCCTGCCCGACTGGGGAACAGGGGTGGGGAACCTGTGAGCCTCCAGATGTTTTGGACACCCAGCTCCCATCTGCACTGAAAGCCCAGTTTCCTCACTCCTGCCGTGGACCATCGCTTACCCCGTCTCTTGGATGAGCGGATTCCACAAGGAACCTTAACGAGAGCCATGTCTGGGACCCAGGGAAGGATTTCTCTTCCGGCTTGCTTGCTTTGCTCTCCTTCAGAATGTCCTGCATTATGCCAAACTGAGTAGCTTAGAAGCATTTTACCCTCTGTTTCCGTATTTCAATATGTATTATTATTACTATTACAGCATTGTGTTATATTTGTAACTGACTTTTTTTTCTTGTGTGGAAGTCAAGGCAGCTCACAAAGCTCCATTTAACCTTCACAATAATAACTCTGTGAGCTGGGTCAGGCTAAAAGCGAGTGCCTGGCCTAAAGTCACCCAGGGAGCATCACACCTGAGTGGTGGTGATTGATTGATTGATTGATTGATTGATTGATTTTCTACGCCGTCCAGTACTAAAAAAAGGCCTCTGGATGGCTTATAAGGAGCCCCGAGGTCCTAGTTCAACCCTTAGACCCGATTGTCTGGAACCGTGTGGTGTACTTTGGTTTAGCTGGCCGGAAAATGGAGGCGAGGGAGAGATGGGGAAACACCCCCATCGCCTCGCAGACATCTGAAGACACTGGCCGTCCTTATTTTTCTCCTTTCCAGGAAAACTCCGAGGGGCCATCAGTTTCATCCCGGGTAAGTGGAGAGAGGGCAGGAGCTCATCCTCGCTTGAGCCTGCTGGAGAAGGGAAGCCACCTGCTCCGTTCGGTTGCCTTCCAAAGCGCCTCTGGGGACTCAGCTCAGCAGTCGACCTGCACCTGTACCTGCATCTGGCCTGCACCTTCAGTAGTGAGCAGGGCCGGATGACACCCAAAGCCGACTGCGGAACAAGCTGCTCAGTAGCTGCCCCCTCCCCACACCCTGCTCAGGCCTCCTGTGGGCATCCCAGGAGGCCTCCTAGGAGCCCTGAGCTTCCAACCTCCCCCACGTCTCCACCACCTAAACTGAGCAAGGTGGGTTAAAGTGTAGCCCTGTATCTGCATTGGTCTCGCTCTGCATATGGAGAGATCTGGGCACAATTACTTGGCAAAAGATGAACTGCAGTGGGGGCAAGATGGGCAGCCACACCAAAGCGCTGCTGGGGCACCTCGGAGGAGCAGCGGGCATCCTCCCCAGTGGCGGTCGCCAAACCAAGCCAGAGCCAGCCTTTGCCAGCTTTGTCTGTCATGGGGGATCTTTGCCAGCTGCCCCAGTGCCACTTGGGCACTTGGAAATGGCTGGCATGGGCAGGTGCCCAATGGACCCTTCGCAAGAGTAGCAGGATTCTTTTCTTGGTCTGGCCGGGCAGCTCTGCAGCCCTTTGGCTTAACCACGGTGGGTTGAGTTCTTTGGGTCTGGATGGCACAGCGAGCCACCATGGCTTGAAAAAACTCTGCAACAAGCCACCACTTATCAGGGGGGCTTATACTCTGTGCCACCCTGAAAAATTATGAAAAATTAAGCCACCCTAGTCCATAAGCTGCTGGGACTTAGCATGTTATACAGACATGATCAGTCCCTCCTCTGCCCCATGCTTGGATCTTTCCTCCTGAGCAGAAGGGTGGTTGCTCCCCGTGAGAGCTGAGCCGTGCGGTCTCCCTGTGAGGCGGCCTCCCTGGGCTGCCTTGCTCTGCGATGGCCGTCTCAGCCTCCACCAGGCAGCAGTGGCTGGTCGAGGGCTTCACTGCTTTCAATCTGGGCAAGGGCTGGACCAAGTCGTCCCCTCTCCACACCGGCATCTCCCCACCTCCAAGAGCTCATTATCGGGTGGCTGAGAGACTTTAACCTTCCCCCTGCCACAAGCATGTTCTGATCTTTGAAAGTTCACAATGCGAAGGTTGGTATGTAGGGGACTCCCTCTATTCTCAACCTCAGGCACGTGGATCCTGCCTCAAATTCCTCCTGAGGCTTGTCAGAAAGAGATATGAGAAGCATGTGACTGAGAGGGGGCGGTTATGTTCCAAAAGGCCTGGTTCATTGGAGAAGGCAAGGTTTCTCCAGAGGTCCCTTCCAGCTCTCAGATGCTGCCTTGTCCAAGATGAGCCTGGCGGACAACTGTGGTGCATCGTGAGCAGCTGGGCCCAGGAGACCCGCCGGAGCCGCGAGGTTTCCCCCTCCTGCCGCTTGAGGCTGCTGCCGCTGCACAAATCCACAGGGAGGGCCGCAAAGAAGCCGCACACGGATTGGCATTTAGGACTGCCCTGCTCCTGCGCTCACCCTCTGCAGGCTGGTTGCTGTCCCCAGAGGCGGGGCAGGGTCCCTCGGGCGGAGGTTGTCCTGCAACCCCCTGGCCCCCAGCTGCTTCAGGCGCTCAGAGCCAGCACCGGCGCTTGACATTGCCCTCCGGCAGCTGGATGGTGTTGGAGAAAAGCAGGCACAGCTCCGTGGGAGAGTGGGGCCCTCTCTTAATTCTGTCTGGGCAGAGCTGGTGCCCGAAAGGGGGAGGCGCTGTGGACCATGAGGGGCCAGGTTCCGGCCAGCTTCAGGCTGCCTGCTGGCTTCCACTGCTCCAAGGGGTCTGTGGGCCAGAACGGTCCCTCTCGGATGTTTCCCTCAGGGAAACGGCATCCAGTCACTCATGCGCCCAGCAAGGTGCCAACACTCCTTTCTGCATGGCTGCTGCTGAACTGGTCTTCATGATGAAATGTCTACAACCTTGCGACGACCTCGTCGTGTCCCCGTTGGATGCTTGTCATGGCAGAGGGCCATCAGGCGTTGCTTCTTGTTTAGGTGGAAATCAGAAGATTCGTTGAATGGTGACTCTTGTTTGAATGTGTGTGGAGATGGGGGTCTGGGATGGCTGCATCATGGGACTGCAGAGAAATGGGGCGGGCGATTGCATCGAGAGGCAATCTATGTAACCCAGCGGGAGGTGTCAAAGTCGGCCTCGCAAGGCCCCGGAGTGAGTGGGGCCCAGAGGGTGCTCTGCCCAGAGCAACAGCTCCCTGAGATGAGCAGCAGCTTCCGGGAGCATCTGGCCTGTCCGCCCCTCGTGATGTCTGGGAAGGCTGATGTGCCATTAGAGGCTGATGTGCCTTGCAAACAAAGGCCTTTCACTGTCCTTCAAGCATGTCCAGGAGGACGCAAGAGGAGCCCTGCCAGATCAGGCCAGTGGTCCGTCCTGCCCAGCCTCGGCCAGCCAGTCGCCTGCAGGATCCCACAAGCAGGGCGGGAGGGTGACAGCACCCTCCCACCCATGTTCCCCGGCCACTGGGGTGCAGAGGAACATGGTTCCTGTCATCAGGACTGCAGCCATGGAGACCTCCTCCTTCCGTCCCCTTGAAATCTGTCCAAATCATGTCACCTCTCATGGAGGGGAATTTCCTGGCTCAGCCAAGCGCTGTGTGACGGAGTCCCTCGCTCGGTCCGTCCTGCATCTCCCAGGTTTATTTCTTTTTATTTTGTCCCAGCAGGGGCAGTCGCAGCGAAGCAGAGCGAGGAGGAGCTGGAGAGCCGCAGGGGACGCATGGAAGAAACGGTAGGAGCTGCAAGGCATGCTGTGTTGACGTGGGCCCCCCATGACTCCTGGCGAAGCGGACGGGGCTGGGCTGCGTGGAGGCTGCCCGCGAGGCCTGCTTTTGGCCCCTTGATACCAACAGGCAATGTCCTAAGGGTGGCACGACAAGGAAGCTGTCCCTTCTTCGCGGCCTGGGTGGCCGGGGGACTGTCTTCCCTGTGGGAGCAGGATATCCAGCCTCAGGCCGGGGCTGTGTAGGCAAGACAAGCCATGGGGTGGGGAGTGGGTATTGGGATTGCTGAGAGCTGGGCCAGGCCAGGCCGGGCCAGGCCAGGCCAGGAGAAGGCCGTGGCAGGAGCGGCAGGTGTTGCAGGCACCGGTGCCATGTTCGTCTGCCTTCCCCAGGATACCCCTGTGCTAAGAGCAAGTTGGTGCCCCTCCTCAAGGAGAAGGTGAAGGGTCTAGAGCAGGGGT